TACATACATATATATATATATCATCCCTTTCGGTCAAGGACACTGGGGTGTGGCAGATGAGTACCTTGGCAGAGTTCACAGTGACACATTATCACATTATAGAGCTAGGGTTCCAATCCTATCATCCTGACCCCCCAAATCTGAATTGTCTCAATCTCTCTGCTATAGTTTGGCTGCTGATCTGTCTGAACCTCCACCGGTACCCGGGCTTCCCCTGACTCTCAGGCCTGCCCCGTCCTCACCAGTACATGGAAGTGCAGCTGCTCACAGGTGACATTCCCTACACTGAGCTGGAGCTGCCGAGGTGACAGCCGCTGGCCGGAGCCATCAAATGCTGCACGCGCCCCAGCTGTCCACTCATCCAGTGATGCTGAGAACTGGATGTCTGGATGGGAGAGGAGAGCGTGAGAACGGAGACAGATGCAGACGCCAGGGTGGGCCAGGACTTGAGGGCTGTCCGGGCTGTCTGGGCTCACTCACAGAATCTGCGGTCCCATCGCCCCGCAGTGTGAGAGGTCACTCGGAAGCACAGGGCTGCAGTGAGGCAGGCTGCTTCCTGGCCTCTTCGCCTACAGTCCTTTTGAACCACACTGATGTGCGGGGGCCTCACATCCAGGGTTGGCAGCAGGTGTATGATGGGCTGGGAGCTGGGAAGGAGGTGGTAGAGAAATTGTAAAGGAGTAGGTAAAGGACAGCCCAAGAGTAGGGATGGAGCTCAGTGGTGGAGCTCTCGAGCATCTGAGCTTGCACTTCAGAATGGGAAGAACAGAAAAGGACAAGAATCGCAACCTTAGTACTTGCTTTCCGTGATTAAGAAAGAAAAATTATATTAAGGTCTGAATATGTCACCCTTCCCAGAAGCCTAAGACAGAAGTCACATAACAATACATTTGGGTCACTAAGCACTGATGTCAGGCTGGAGAGATGGCTCGGGGTTAAAAGCTCCAGCTGTCCTTCCAGAGGATTCCAGCACCCACATGGCACCTCAAGGGCAGCTATAGAACTCCATTTCCAGGAGATCTGACACCCTCTTCTGGTCTCCACGTGCAGTGCACATATACACAGTGCACAGACATACATATAGGCAAAACACCCATACACATAGAATAAAAATAAACACTGTTAAAAATCTTTATGTGGACTATCTTATTTGATATTTACAATAAACCGGAAAAATGGTGACAATCACTTTCATTCTATGAACTAGGAATTTAGGCACCAGGAATTTAGTTGCCCAGGAAACCCAAATTCAAATCTGTGACCTTTGTTCTTGTAAGCTGCGCCACACCGTGCACTGCTACCCAAGCTGAAGCCCTCACCTGAGCAGGATGGCTGCCCCATGGGCACCCACAGCAACATCTACAAGATCATCTCCGTCCAGGTCTAACCGGCCATCCACACTTCGGCCAAAGTAGCGGAGGGCCTGAGGCATGGATACAGCAGCAATCCGCTGAAAGGAGGAGAAGAAAGCCTGAGGAAGGACTCACAGCCGCTTCTCTGTCCTCCTTTCTAACATTCCCATCCATCAAGAGAAGAAGAAAAATTTGCCTATCTCAGAAATCCCTCATTAGCTGTCTCCCTTGGCAATCTATGAATGCAGCCACTTGCTTGGTTTGACTCTTAAGCCAAGTGGATGACAAAAAAGCAAAACACACACACACACACACACACACACAACTCCCTTCCCTTTCTACCACTGTGTCCCATTTTCAATTGTTTGTTTTTGTTTTTGAGACAACATCTGGCTAGCCTGTAGTCCTGGCTAGCCTGGAATTCACTATGTGGGCCAGGTTGGCCTTGAACTCACAGAGATCCACCTTCTGGGATGAAAGGCATGTGCTACCACACTGTGTTTTACCCCAGCACTGCTAACCTGGGTAGGATGGGGCCTGATTCCATTCTGGGTTCCATGATACAGGTATAGTGCTCCCTGGTGCCCATCCTCCAGGGGAGCCCCCACAGCCACATCTGCAAAACCGTCTTGGTTCAGATCGGGAAGAGCAGCCATGGCAAAGCCAAAACGAGAATCCTGGGGACGTTCTGGCTGAAGGGTTCCTTGGAGCATCAGCAAAATTTGCTTGTAGTGGTGAGGAGATAGAAGGAATTGTTTACCTGGTGACCCTCACCCATCAGCAAACTCAAAGATATCTGTGTTTCTCCCTTTTCTCCATTCTATCACCACTCCCCCACATTCTAGAGGGTCCCACCAATTCTTACCTGGCCCACCACATATACATACACACGTCCAGTCTCTTTGTTCTGGGGACCCAGGAACATGGGGGCCGCCACAAGTAAGACGTCAGTTATCCCATCCTTGTCTGTATCCAATGGGCAGAGCTCACTGCCAAAGTATGAGCCAATCTGGGTGAGGAGGGTGGTGATGAGCCCAGAGAAGAGGGAAGGTAAGGGTTGTGACAGCTGGACTCAGCAGGAAGTACTCAGCACCCTGTCCACCTGGGCCTTACATCCCTCGCAGACTGCCTACCAGAACGCAGCACCCTCAGCACCCTCAGCCTGGCAGTCCCGGGGACCCAAGGGTCTCACCCTCCCTTGATGTCATACCTGATCCCCCTGGAGGCTCTGGGTGACCCTCAGAGACCCATCTTTCTTTAGCTGGAAGGCGATGACTTTTCCTCGATGTCTAAACCTCGGTGCCCCCGAGAGAAAGAGGCGGCGGCCACCGGGCAGAAGCATGGAGGAAACAGAGTAACCTAGAAGCGAGCAGGGATCAGATGCCAGAGGGAAAGAGGATGAGATGAGAGCTGGGGAGGGTGTTCTAAAGGCTTAAGGTGAGTTCTCAAGAGAGATCAGCGGAAAAACTGCCCGACTTAACAGGGAGTGCCTCATCCGCCCTACTGGGTCTCCCCCACCCTCCCAGCTCCCTGCAACTCTGTTACTCACCCAGGTAGGCTGCATGGTTCTGCAAGGCAGGGGGAAACTCATCTTCCAGGGCCGTTCGTGGGGGGAAAAGGCGGCGACCTTCTTCAAGCCATAGTACCGAGCCCCCCCAGTCATAGGCCCCCACCATCCCAAAGAGAATCCCATCCTGAGGGGCAGAACCGAATGAGGACACTGAGAACACAGTGGGGAGCAGGGGAAAATGAAGTCTCCAGGAGGAAGATGCTCACAGAAAGGCACGGAAGGGCAGGGACTAGGCGGGTTAAAGGAGAAATCTGGAGGGACCTTAGGGTTTAAGTTGAGTCAGAAGCTGGAGAGGTTTATGAAGAGATCAAGGGCTCAGGGGTGTTGCAGAGGGTCAGGGTCTGTCCAACCTGTAATCGGTGGGTGGAGAAGCCAATCTCAGACATTTCTAGCCCAAAGGAGCTTTCGTTTTCCCCACGGGACCCTTGGGCATAAACAAATCGCAAAGCGCTCAGGGGAGCTCGCGCACTGGAATGCCCCAACACGGTCCTCCACTTCACCCCGATAATGATTACCCTCCAGACCAAATATCCGGTCTCCCAGTGCATCCACAATGTCCGTCAGCGCAGCCTCGTCTGTGACATTAAAGAAGAACCGCTCATCTGGATCACTGGCGATAGCTCTGATTTCCCGAAGGAAAGAGCTAGGGTCTCTCTGTCGCCGGAGATAGTGACCGAGGACCTGAGTTCAAGATGGGGGTCTATTAGCTGTGTGAAGTAAACTGTTACAGCTGACACAGGACATAGCTAACTAAAGAAAAGGGGAGGAAACAACGGCTGGATTCCAGGCGGTGGCTAATACTATTCTCTCTGTTTCACATATTGAAAACCTCTCTCCATCTCTCTTTTTAGCTCCAGAGTCGATTCTTGGTCTGGGAGATGACTCGGGGAGTAATGTGCTTGCCATGCAAACTGACAACCTGAGTTCAGATCCCCAGACCCACAGAAAATACTGGACACAGTAGCTCAGGCCTATCTGCAATCCCAGCATGCCCCTACCAGGAGACAGGAAGCTAAGTCAGAAGACTTGAGCAGGCCTGTGGGCCAGCTAGCCTGGCTTAGAGTATGCAGCTGAACAAGGGACCCAGTCTCAAACAAGGTGGAAGGTGAGGACCGACATCTGATGTGGTTCTCTGACCTCCATATATATATATACACCATGGTATGTGCACACATGCACGCGCACACACGCACGTACACACAGCAAACAAACACACACCATACAAATACACACGCACTACAACCCAAAACAAAACCAGAAAGCACCAGAGTCAAGTCTCACCGCAATCCCGTAACGTGTTACTTTTCCAGCCTCACAGGCCTTTAGTGCGGCTGGAAGCTCCTCTCCATCATGAGATTCCCCATCAGTGACAACCACCAGCAGTCTTGCAGCCTCAGGTCTGCCCCCTCGGGACTGACTGAACCCTTCTGTGCTAAGAAAAGAAAAAAAAATGAAATACGGTCATGCATGTAAGTGTGCGTGTGAGTACACACACGCCCTGCACACACACACACGTGCACACACACATGTGTATTTAACACTGTCAGCCATTCACTGATGTCAGATGTTGTGTCTTCTAGGCCATTCTCCAACAGTGTTAACATGCAAACTGGCACAACGTCACGGCTTGAATGTTTGGGTGCCCAGAACATACAGAATATAGAATAACCCATCATCAGTGTAAGTTAGTGCCAGCTTTATTCATCCGTAGATTCATCCAGTGAACGTTGTGTTTGGGTTGACAGATCAAGGGGATGGAGAAGAGACCCTAGTCGTGGTGTCAGGCAGTCTCCCCGGAGGTGAGTTTAGGATCGTGTTTGGAAAGGAGGTTAGGACTCGAGTGGCTATAAAGCTAAGGATCAGAATTGACACGGAAATAGCAGAGAAGAGATGGGGCTCTGGTCACAGAAACAGACAGACCAGGAGAGATACACCCAGAGACACTGTGAGAGACACCCAGAGACACTGTGAGAGACACCCAGAGACACTGTGAGATACACCCAGAGACACTGTGAGATACAGGAAGAGACACTGTGAGATACAGGAAGAGACACTATGAGATACAGGAAGAGACACTGTGAGATACACCCAGAGACACTGTAAGATACAGTAAGAGACTGTGAGATACACCCAGAGACACTGAGATATAGTAAGAGAGTGCTGGGCCAGCCACCAACTGAGCCTTCCTCCATCAACGTCAGGCATGCAGATAAAGATAAGCGCACAGACCATCTTGTGACGTACACGCTAGATTCCAGACCCTCTCGCTGCGTGCCGATCCTTCATCCTCCCACATCCCTTCACCATGCCTCACCATGCCAGCATTATCGCTTGGGCAGTTCTTGTTTCTCGCCCCTCCCGTCGGCTGAGGTTCCTTGCTGCTCTCACAACTTCTTCCTTGGTCCGGAAATCTCCCAGGGACCACTCGTGCACAGGGCTCTCCCCATACTGTACCAGTCCTACCTGAAAACAGTAAACCATGTCCTCCAATGGGATGTTTGTAGAGGATGGAGACAATGGAGAACAAGGGATAGAGGTGAAATGAACACCTCGCAGGCACGTCCAGTCTGCAGCCTGTGGGTCCCAAGCAACTGCATACGGCAAAAGACAGCTATGGATGTGGCCCATACAAAATCCTCAACTTACTTCAAACATCATGAGATTTTTTTTTTAACTTCTTGGTAACTTAATAACACAATTCTTGAGCATGAGTTCTGTAGATGACAATGTCCTGGTGTGATGTCGAGAGGTTGGACATGCCTGATTACACTGAACGGACGGACCATGAGGCTCTAACTCTTTCCCTCCAAACCCATCCATGTGTCCCTCACTTACCTGTATCTGCTCCGGATCAATAAAGAGTCTCCCTACCAGCCTCCGAAGGAAAGTCTGAACTTCAGACCAGGGATAGATACTGTTGGAGCCATCCAAAACAATGACGACGTCCATGTATGTTGGACAGCCTAGAAGGGGGAGTATAGAGATGGGAAGCAAAGACTGGAAGGATGCTGGGGGGCGGGGAGCCAACAAGGGAAAATGTCACAGGAGGTCGCGTCAATGTAAGCATCTATTAGGGACTTCTTACATGCAAGGGAGGACCGTGCCAGGCTCCTGAGTGTGGGAATGAATGAAAGAAGAGATGGGCAAGTGTGAAGGATGAAATCTGCACCAGATAGAAACCTACCGCTAATCTACGCCATGGGAGACCAAGAGAGCATCACTTTGGTTCGTGTGTGTGTGTGTGTGTGTGTGTGTGTGTGTGTGTATGTGGGAACTGAACTAAGGGCTCTATTCATGCTCTATCTATGTGCCACTGAGGGTCAGGTCCAGCCCGGAGGGTCCTTCTGATAGTGGTAAACCAAAGAGGCAGCAGAGTCGGGCATGATGGTACATGTCTACTATGCCAGTACTTGAGAAGCTGAGGCAGGCAAATCCCAAGTTCAAGGGCATCCTGGGCTATATGATAAAACTATGTCCAAAAAGGCAGCAAATCAGAAGGTCTATGGAAGGACTGGGGGAGAACTCAATAGCTGAGTGCTCACTTGGAATGCATAAGACCCACAAAAATAAGATATTGTGAATTCTGAGAAAATGTACCGGGGTAGAGAACTTTGCAAACAAGAAATACAGGTATAAATAAATGGCACCCAGAGGGATAATGATGTAAATGTAATGGGTGGGGCACAGGATTTACGGAGGATAACTACGTTTTTTAAGTTGAAACCCTAAGCCAAATCCTGGTGTCTTGACACTTTAGTCAGGAGTGTGAATTCTAATCTGTTAGCAAGCAGCAGATTCTGCTGCAAGCACATCTGGGGATGGAGAGGTTAGCCATGCAGAGACCTCTGCTAAGTCTGGGGATGGAGAGAAGAGCCATGCATACCCTCTGCTAAGTCTGGGGATAGTGAGGTTAGCCATGCATACCCTCTGCTGAGTCTGGGGATGGTGAGGAGAGCCATGCAGACCTCTGCTAAGTCTGGGGGTGGTCAGGAGAGCCACGCAGACCCTCTGCTGAGTCTTTTGTTCTGTTTTCCCCACTCAGCACCCCCATCTAAAAACTGAGTTCCCAGGCCCTTCCACCAGCTCACGTTGGGCAGTAGGTGCCAGGCTTCCCTGGGGCTGGAATGAAGCATTCACACGGGCACACAGTCCAGAACTGAAGACAGAGCTGCCACAAGCACGGGACCAGAGTGGGGCACAGGCCTGGGGCACAGGTGAGCAAGGGAGATAGTTATTTCCAAGTCTAAGAGGGGCTCCTCAGAACATGCATCTAGTTTAAAAAAAAAAAAAAAAGCACTAAGATTACTCCATGGGGTATCCTATCTTACTCTCTAGGGATTTTAAACTCTTTGGCTCTTCTATATAGACTAACTCTCCTTACCATATTGCTCTTTTCCCTGCCATGAACCTTCGGAGACCCTTTCGCTCACCATGAATCCCCCATCACCATCTGTCTCTAGTAGCGACATGCCCAGGTGCATATTCAAGGCCGGCTGAGATGAATTTCCCAGTTGATAGTCTCCTGGGTGGAGGAGGGGTAGAAGAGAATGAAGTCGGGGTCAAAGGCTGGGTGCTCGAGTTCAGTGCAGTTTGGGAGGAGAATGAAAAGGAATCCGTATCAAGTTGAAGGCAAGGTCTGTATAGGTTATGGAGGCAAAGAAGCTGACACACAAGGACTCAGCTCCTGGGTATCAGAATCAGGGATTAGCAAAGAAAGAGTTGGGCATCTTCTTACCTAGGTGGCCCTTGGCACATGGGGCATTGTAGGATCCCCCTATAGAGCAGCGATAAACATCCCCCCGCCGGTCACCTGAAGGCCCATCCCAAGGGGCGCCCACCAGCATCCTGAGGGGAATATGGATATAAGCATCAGGTGAACATGACTCTTTTTTCTTCTTTCTTTCTTTTTGTCGAGACAGGGTTTCTCTGTAGCTTTGGATCAGGTCCTGGAACTAGCTCTTGTAGACCAGGCTGGCTTCGAACTCACAGAGATCCACCTGCCTCTGCCTCCCGAGTGTTGGGATTAAAGGCGTGCGCCACCACTGCCTGGCAAACATAATTCTTAATATAGACGAGAGGGAAAGTGCATGGAGGTGGCCAGTTCAGAGCCCTAGGCACTTTCAAAGACCAGCTTAGAGACTCATCTCTCCTGCCTCCCTTTTTATCAGGGCTTCCACATTCCCAATCCCATGGTCCTCCGATTTCCTTCTCACCATCGCTGTCCACCCCCAACATGCTGCAAGACGCTGTATCCAAATTCGGCCTCTGGTGGCCCTGTGAACAGGCGTGGATGGCGCTCATCCAGATTAAAGGGGGAGCAGAGACCTGGGAGGCCAGGATCAGAATTAGCATCAGCTGGTCCGGTTGAAGGACCGGAGCAGCACAGCGATGCCCGAGACAGGAGGGTGCATCTCCAGCTTAGTGTGGCTGCCTGATTGCTTAAAGCTCGCTTGGCCTCTGTCGATGTCGTGTACTAAAGCCCCAGGTGGGGTGATGGGGCGACTCTCCCTGCGTGGGGGTTCTGAGGCCCTCGGCCATGCGGAAGCACAGCTGCACTTTCGTTCCCACTCCTGAGATCTCATTCACAGACACTTCTGGAAAGGTCGGGTTACTCTCCACATCATCCCTCCTACACACCCTCCTAGGCCATCAGAGTCCAAAGAGGGAGCGGGCCTTTGCGCAGCCGCACAACCACCCCTTCCAAGTTCTTCCCGAACCCGGGCCATGGGGAGAAGAGGAGGGCGAGGAGCTCCCTGTCTGGGTGTCTCCTCTTTCTGTGCCTTGACATTGTCACACTTGCACTTTCTCCAGGGTCTAGGACGCTGGTGGCTTCCAGCCCTGCAAACCTCAGTGCTAATTAAGTGGGCGGAACCACCAGCCTGCCCACACACATAGTTTGCCATCTATCCTTGTTAAGGGTCCTATCCCCCCCGCAAAAAAAAAACTCCCCCATAATCTGTTGCTTATCTCCTCCACTTCCCAACTACCCCTTGCCCACTCCCACAATTCCCTCAAACTTTAGCTCACTCCGAAGGTCCCCAATTGTGTCCTTGCCGATCCCTTTCTTCTGACCCCAATTCCCATAAAATCAGAGCGTGTATTTTAGGAAACAAAGATTATAGGGTATTTGCAGAGAAAAATTCCAAGCCTCGTGTCCCTCCTGTGCTTCTCTCTCCCACTGTCTTGCTCCTTACGTTCAAGCAACCCTCTCTCACCCTACGCCCACCCTCCAGCATCTCTAACTTTTGATTCAAACCGAGCTCACTTTCAGAAGGTATTCTGTATGAGAGCCTCTTTGCATCCGGGAAACAGGGTTGTAAGACCAGGAACTCACTAGATGAACCCAGAGTTCTGACCACATAGTAAGGCGATTATGCCTCGGCACCAGGAAGTACCAGTGGTAAGGAGAGGCCGGGAGGGTGACCGTAGGGATCAGGCTAGCTGCATGGAAGAGGAGAGACATGGTTCTATTCTGCATCCCCATTTCTATGGAGTTTAGGGCAAAGGTGTTAAATAACTAGGATCAATTCTTACTCAAGCCTTAGGCGGCTTCAACCCCTGCCATTGGGGAGTCTAAAAATATGAGTTCACATGCAAAATATGGCATCAATATTAACCTCTGACCCAAACTCCCAAGTAATTTTAACCGTATGGTCCCAGTTCTAAACAATCCAGATATCTTCCATTCCCACCAGAAACCAGGAAGTTTGCTTTCCTCACCTGTCAGCAACGCCAGGGACAAGAACAGGTGAGGAGAGGAGAGGCGCGCCATGCCTGCTTGTCCTGCCTGGTTCAAGAAGTCCTCTGTGCCTCTCTGTCCCTCTCCTTTGCTGTTTTCTTTACTTTCCCTCCTATCCTGCCCCCTCCCACTGGCGGCTAAAAATAAAGTTGGACGGAATGGGAGGGGTGGTGGTGGGGAACTGTGGGGAGCCCCAGTCCATGAGGACAGAGGGATCTTAGTCCAGTCCCTGCCTTGGTGCTGCCCCCTGGAGGCCTCAGCTCATATTCAAAGAGAACACAGCTTTGGACCTTTCTGAGGCTACATTCCCCACTGTTTTTATTTTCAATAGTGATTTCCTCCCGTTTGGAATGGAAAATAGGAGTTAGAGACAAATTCTTTTCGCCTTATTAACCTCAACCTGAGATCGCAAATAAAAGCTGCCAGCAGTGACGGCAGTGTCCTCCTGCCTGTGTGAAGGGCAGTCCACTGCGACCCTGCCGGTCCACTGCGCTCTCTGCTCACACTTCTGTGTTTAAAGCTTCTGGAGAGTCTTTGACTGTGAACAGGTGTGCTTTGTGGCGCCGATATAACTGCTTTGGTTTAAAATATCCCACCCCCAATTTAAGGAGGCTATAACTGCCTCAGGAAAGGTAGAAACATCTTAGTACTTTGGATTGTCCACGACCTACTACTTTCCCCCAAGACTTAAATTTTCAATGAAAACCTGTAAGGATGTTAGTTGCCAATGCCATGGAAACCCATCCATAGTCACAGAAACTGAGAGGCCAGACCAGATGTCAATGCGCAGCCGGACAGAGTGGCACACACCCACTCTCCTACCTATTCAAAAGCCTGAGGCAAGAGAACTCAGAGTTTCAGGCCAGCCTGGGTGTAACAGATGAGACCCCCATCTTGAAAATGAATAAGTAAGTCAGTGAGCAAACCGATCTTTAATGTGCTGACCTGGAAGGCTTGCCTGCACTGTGGGCATGGACCACAGCTATTTACAGAGATTCATTGTACAGTACTTACAGTGAGAGGCCAGACACAGCATCAACCTGGACAGTTAAAGAAAGGGCAGAGCCAGGAGAGGAAGGAAGCTCTAATATCAAAGTGTAAGCAGACACGGGAAGGTACGGAGGAGAGAAGGGTTAGTGCCAAATCAGGAAGGAGGCTGGTGAGGCAGACACAGGGCAGAAGTGTCAAATGGCCTTCAGTGCAGAGATAAGAGGGAAGAGTCTGCTGGGACATGAAATGAAGCCTCGAAAATCATGGAGTGTGAAGGAAAAACACTATGCTCCATGCTGCTTCTGAAAAAGAATGCAATTAGCACTTTACCACTCAAAACGTGTGCTTCTCCTACCAACAAGGAATTCTGTTTAAGTGTTCAGATAGCGGACTAAGAAAGACAATTCTGCCGCATGGTGACAAATTCTTAACCAGACTCAAGGCAGATAAAAGGGAAGAGAGCAAAGAGATTCGGGCTATGACAGAGAAGCCCAAACGCCTCTCGAGGCATGCTGGAGTCTTTCCAGCGACATCGCCTTCCTGACCTCGTCTTTGGCAAGGTTCTCCCCTCATTCCTGAGTATCTGGATCTAACTTCAATCAAGGAGTCACGTTAGGACGAGGCTGCCACGCGGGGACAATCTAAAACTCCATCTCACCAATTGAGCTCCCTCCTTATCTTGTATCATAATGTCAGGGCTTGAGTCGTAGCCAGGGGCAGATTAGGGTGAGAATAGACAGAATGGAGGATATGAGGCCACAAAGGCCCACAATCCCAGGGCCACAGCGCCAGAGGCCTAGTTTGTCCAGTGGGATAAAGAGGTCACAGGCGTTTCTGAGCACATCCAGCAAAAGAGGGGGGTGATCTCGAAGGACACGAGCCAGGAGCAAGACCCGGAGCCGAAACTTCAGAGCCAGTTGTGGCAGGCACCCCCCTGGAGTCCCTGATCCTCCAGGTCCCCCAGTCTCAACTCCTCCTGGGACTCCAGAAACCTTCATTCGCCGGCCATAAGCTGAGGTCTCTTGCTCCATCAGTAGGCGGATCTCATAAGCATCGCGGCTCAGATTCATGATGAGGGAGAACAGGTAGTACCTGGGATGCACAGGCAGACGCACAGGTTAGGGCAGGCACGCAGTCTGTTCAGCACACCCTACACAAACTGAAACCCTTTTCTCATGCACTGAGAAGGGATTCCACATCAGAACGTCAGAAGCCAATGTTGTAACCCACCACTGGAGATGCCCACTCTGGGAACTGGTGAGACAGCTTAGTGGATAAGAGCATTTGCCAAGCACAAGATCTAAGTTCAATCCCCAGAACCCACATGGAAGGTAGAAGTGATGTCCCCAAGGTGTCCTCTGACTTCCACAGACACCACGCACACACATGCACCCACATATGCAATAAAAACAAATTATTTTTTTAAAGTTAAAAACTATGTCCTGCCTTAGAAGTAGGAATGTAGCTCACTAGTAAGAGTATTTGCCTTGCATGCATGAGTCCCTGAGTTCAGTCTCAGCAACACCAAGAAAAGAATTGTCCTTCCTTCTGGACAATATGCTAGGTTCAATAAATCGATACAGAAAGACACATGGTCTCACTTACCTAACTCACCAGAGCACGGAATAAGATGGTGGTTGCTAGGATTGGAGGGTATGAGAAACAGGAAGACATTGGCCGATGGGACAAACATTCAGTTCTACAAAATACATAAGTTCTGTACATCTAACACACAGTATGGCGACTACAGTTACACAACTGAATTACATACTTGAAACTTGTTAAATGAGATCTCAGCTCAGGTGTTCTAATTAAGAAGATGTCACCATAAGGTTACGATCATTTTAACAATCATTTATTTTATGTATGTGAGTGTTTCACCTGCATGATGTTTGTGCACCATGTGCCTGTATGCCTGTCACCAAGAAGGCCAGAATAGGGTATCAGATCCCCTGGAACTGGAATTATAGGTGGTTGTGAGCTGCCATGTGGGTGCTGGGAGCTCCCTCCTGTCCTGTCCTCTGGAAGAACAGTGTGGTGGTTTGAATAGGAATGGCCCCCATAGACTCATGTGTTTGAATGTTTGGACCATAGGGAGTGTCAATATTAGGAAGTGTGGCCTTGTTGGAGTGGGTGTGACCTCACTGGAGGAAGTGTGTCACTGTGTATGTGGACTCTGAATGTCTCATCTATGCTCAAGCTACACTCAGCATAGACTCCTTCTGTATGTGGATCACGAGGTAGAACTCTCAGCTCCCTCTCCAGCACCATGTCCTGCCATGATGATAATGAACTAAAGCTCTAAAGCTGTAAGCCAGCCCCAGTTAAACGCTTTCCTTTATAAGAGTTGCCATGGTCACGGTGTCTCTTCACAGCAATAGAGCCCAACTGAGCCAGTGCTCTGACTGCTGCGCTATCTCTCCAGCCCATCATATGTACGTTAACAATCCTGAGTATGGGATCACATCATAATACACATATTCAAGACACCACACTATATGCCTAAATACATACAGCTATACCCCAGAAATAATAAAGAAAAAAGAACTCTCCTACTATTCTATAATCAGTATGTGTTTATATGTAACTTAAGATCCTGGCTTAAAATTTGTGTCATGAAATCTGCCAAGATTAATTTCATTTTGAGACAATTCTTATAACATAATACACTGAACTGCAGAGACGGCGGTGGTAATGGGCTCACCATGCAAGTGTGAGGACACAAGTTCAAATCCCCAGAACCTATGTAAATGCCAGAAGACATAATAATAGGGAATCTCTCAGAATAAGATGGCTAGTCAGACTAGCCTTGTATAGGTGAGCTCGGAGTCAACTGAAAGGCCTGCCACAACGAATAAGGTGGAGAAAGACAGACTTATGAAGCCAAGCTTGGGCCTTGTGTGCATACATGTGCTCAGGCATTCACATATATTTGTTACTACATATACACACATAAAATACACACATGAAACACATACACACACACTCACGGGGAGGGAACACATTTAACTTGACCCTAATAATGCAAACAATTTTTTTTTTTGGTTTTTTTGAGACAGGCTTTCTCTGTAGTTTTAGAGCCTGTCCTGGAACTAGCTCTTGTAGACCAGGCTGGCCTCGAACTCATAGAGACCCGCCTGCTTCTGCCTCCTGAGTCCTGGGATTAAAGGCGTGCGCCACCATCACTTGGCATAATGCAAACTATTTTGAAAGAACAACTTTAGTTGTTCAAGAGACACAAACAGCCCAAAGTGGTGATGCATGCCCATAATCCCAACATTTAAGATCAGGAGTTCAAGGACAGCCTGGGCTACAGGAGACCCTGTTTTAAAAAAGAGAGAAGAAAAAAGATTTACACATACTTTAGAGGATTTAAATCCAATCTTTAAGAGAAAAAAAAAAAAAAGACCACCCCCAAAAGGCCCAGAGATTAAGTGGCTGCTAGAGACATTAGACAATAAATTCCTTAAGCACAAAAATATACATTATTCACTATGTAAACTAGACACACCTCAAACTTACAGAGCCCCCTGCCTTTGTCTCCAGGTGACTGAATTAAAGGTACACACCACCACACCCAGCCCAACCCAAAAGTCTTGTTTGTTTGTTTGTTTGTGCTTTTTAAGACAGGGTCTCACTGTATAGCCCTGCCTGTCTAGAAACTCACTTTGTAGATCAGGCTGGTCTCAAACTCATAGAAATCCACCTGTCTGTCCCTCCTTAGTGCTGGGATTAAAGGTGTGTACCACCATACCTGGCACATTTTTGTTGTTTTAAGGCAGGATTTGCTTTACTATGTAGTTCAGGCTGGCTATGAATTCTCCATCCTGCCTAAACCTTCCTAGTATTGGATTACAGGCATACATTAGCTAAGTCTTAAATACAAAAGCTACAGGTCTCTTTGTTCTTGTTATGATGGCTCTGTGTGTGTGTGCGCGCGTGTGTGTGCGCGTGTCTGTGCATGTGTGTGTGCATATGTAGGCAATGGTATGCTATGGTATGATGTGGAGGATGGAAGGCCCACTTGCAGGACTCAACTCTCTCACCATCAGGTTTACCCAGCAAACACCTTTAACCTATCAACCTTCTCACAGCATAATTATTTGTGTTGAAAACTGACTCCCTACCTACACTGTCATGAGCCTTGTCTTCCTTTCTCTTTTTAAATGCACTTGTTTTATTTATCACCATGATGTGTAGCAGTATGTATGTTAGATGGGGCACAAGTGCAGCGCACATATGGAAGTCACAGAGCAACTCTGTGGAGTGGGTCTTTTCTGCCACCTTTCCCTGGGCCCCAGGGTCTGCTTGCTTATACTCACTGATTCATCTCACCACAGACCTTAAGTTTCAAGGATCAGATGCTACATCTGTTTGGCTTCTGCTTAATCTCCTGGCCCATAGTAAGAAGCTAAGAAATATTTTTAGAAAAGCCAAACACAGTGGCGGTGGTGCGCACTCATGGAGTTCCTGCTACTAAGGTGGCTAAGGAAGGAGGATTGTCTGAACCTAGGAATTCTGCACCAGTCTCAGCAATGTACGAGACCCATCTCTTTCTGGAGGTGCACATATTCATGGGTATGTATGCATGCATGCACATGTGTATGTGAAGCCCAGCGTTCAACCTTGGAGCACTCCTCAGGTACTGTCCACCTTGTTTTTTGTGACAGGGTTTCTCACTTGGCCTGAAACTTGCCCAATATTCTAGGCTGGCTGTCCAGAGAGCCTTAGGAATCCTCCTGATTAACCTCCACATTTCTGGGAATACAAGAGTATGTCACCATCCCTGGTCTGTGTGTGGGTGGGTGTGATTCTAGGGATCTAACTCGGGTTTTCTCATGCTTGTAGAGCTGTGTTATCTCAGCCTTGTAAGACCCCTATATCATGAAAGAAAAAGGGACTAGACATGGTATCACATGCCTGTAATCCTGTCCTAACTGGGGGTTGGGGGTCTTCAAGCAGGAGAATCCTGAGTTCAAGGCTAAATTAAGGCATATAGTGAGACCTATCTCAAAAACAACAACAAATCAAAATTATAAAAAAATTATTAAATTAATTATATTATTTTAATTAAAAAAAACCCAAACAGGCAAAATGACTCAGCAGGGTAAGGGCTCTGTCAACAAATGTGATGTCCTGAGTTCATCCTTGAGGTCCACATGGTGGAAGGAGAGAACCAACCTTTGCAATCCGTCCTCCACATGAGGTGTGGCAATGCCACCTGCCCCCGCCCCTCACTAATAATAAATAAAATTCTTTAAAGGAAAAATGGAATAAATGAGTAGGAAGGCAATGAAGGCAGACTATCTGTGGTTTAGATATAACTAAAGTAATACAATATTTGTCACCTCCAATCTCAAGACACTTAGTACGGCACAGCAAATCTAACTTCCGGATGATATTGTAACTCTTTTATGGCTTAAGATACAAATGAAGATTGGAAACCAAACGGTCGGTTAAGATAGATAGTGGTGCACACCTTTAATTCCAGATCTTTGGAAGTAGAGTCAGGTAAATCTCTGTGAATTCAAAGCAGTATAGTCTATACAGTGAGTCAATCAGGACTACGTAGTAAGACCCTGCCTCAAAAATAGACAAAGGATGCTATAGTCCTAGCATCCATGGAGGATTAACTCCAGGATCCTGCATTCCGCCCACCCAAATCCACAGCTGCTCAAATCCCTTAGATAAAATGGTATTATTGCATTTATATATAACCTACTCAGTCCTCTGTATCCACCTCCATATTGTTTATAATATCCAATACAATAAATATGCAATATAAAGAAATGTTATATCTCTCTATATAACTATATCGTCTAAGGAATAACAACACAAAACACTTTCACATGTTCAATTCAGATGCACCTTTCCCTTCAACGTTTTCCATCTGGAATTGCTTGAATCAGAAGACGTGGAAACAATAGCTATGAGAAGCCAAGCATATACTCAGAAAATCCTGACCTACTACTGTCTCATAAGTAGGAAGTTACGGGCCAGGGAGCCGGCTTGGGAGGTGGGAGCATTGCCATGCCGGACCGATGGCCCGAGCTTGGCCCCTGGACCTCACAGTGGGAGGAGTCTGTTGTCCTCTGACCTACAGATGTGTGCCGTGGTGCAGTTCCTCTCCTGCCATAATTCTCTTTTAAAACATATAGAACGATGGCTTAGTAAAAGTACCTCTGCTCTTCCCAGAACTCACACAACAGCTACAACCATCTGCAATTCCAATTCTGGTGTCCTCATTTGGCTTCTGCCAGAAATAGGCACATAACTGGTGCACAGACATACACGCAGGCAAAACATCCATACACATAAAGTAAAATATTATAAATGTGCGTGCGTGCAAGCCACGTGGAATGGAGGCCACAAACAGTCTTATAGGAGAAAACCAAACCAAACCTGAATGAACGCTGTGCCCACTTTTCCTGGTCCACGCGGGGAGCGAGTCCGGACTTCCCAGCCCACAGAACATTGTCGCAGGCAAAGTATAAGGCTCGGTTAAGATGACTAACAGTGATGCAGAACCTCAGGACAACGTCGGAGAGGTGCACAGCTCTTTTGGCTGACTCGAGCGCGTCTGCCGAGTTACCCAGGCGGAGCACTTGTGGAGAAGAACAGGGGAAAGCGAGGGATTTGAGGCAGAGGCGGAGGTGGGGGGCAAAAGAAAGAAAAAGGGTAACAGTTGAGCTAGCAGTAATAACATACAATAAAAAAAGTAAAAATAATTTGCTCTTTTTTAAACTTCAAATCACAGTTAAATCTTGTCCCAGTTTAGTTTTTACTTGCCCCATTGTCTCCAATCCATTATAAATAACTTTCTTACACCTGTTGTTGGAGGCATGCAGAAGAGCCTATGACGGCAAACTGGCAGGGGAAACACAGGAAGGAGAGGCAATGGGCCGATAGTTGGGAATGATAAAAGACGGGTTTGGTGCACTTACGCTTTCTTCCAAGACTCAGATGACCTTCCAGCTGTCGAATCTGCTTCTGTAACACAGGACTGGCCCCATGTCTCTGCAAAGCATGGCCGAGAAGGGAACAGGCGTACTGGGCAGCCCTGGAGGGGAGGACAGGAAAAGTAAGGGGCAAACCTCTAACCTCTCTGTCAAAAATGTCCTCCAGCAGGCTGGTGAGGCGGCTAAGAGCACTTGCTCTTGCAGAGGACCGGGTTCCATTCCCAGCACCCACATGGTGTCTCCCAACTGCCTGTCAGTCCAGCTCCAAGACATCCATAGCCCTCTTCTGACCTCTGCAGGCACCAGACACACGTGTGTGCACAGACATACTTGTAGACAAAACATTCAGACAAATAATAATGAATCTGAAACCAAAAACTCTTCCGGGGACATTTCCTCCTCCTTTTCATATGTATATTTTTCCGTTTCTCCTCAAGGCCGAGGAAGGGAACGACGTGAGGGGAAAATACAACCTATGAGAACGGGGGAGCACTATTTGGAGCTAAGAGAGTAAGAGTTTCGAAAATGGTGAGGCCTAAAGGGGCCAGTAAGCGGCCGGGATCCATCACAGGCGTCCACACGCGAGTTTATATATGAAACATGACCGAGGGCGATCTAGTTGAAGGGCAGACTAGTCTTCGGGACAGGGGAACTAAGAGATTAAGCTCCTTGAACGGTACTGGAACCCGAAGGAGAGCCGAGACAGCGCGGCTGCTAGGTGACAGCCGGGGAGAGGACGCAGAACCGGGAGGATCGTCCCTCATGCCTCCACAGCAGTGAGGAAACTTGCTTTGTGGACACGGTAACCCTGGGCGGCCTCCCCGCTGGCCCACTCATGCCTCAATTTCCCCATCTTTCCCGTGAGCAGGAAAGAATCATGTCACAACCAGCTGCAGAGTGTGCCTCCCGGGCCGCGCGGGCCCCCGTAGCCAGAGCTGACCCTCAGGGACCCCGTAGCGCGCCCGTCGCCTCGCGGGAACCTGCTCTGCCCTCCCGCCCGCGCTCCTCCGTCGGCCGCACCTACACAGCCGCTCCCGGGCTTGGCTCTGAGCACTGAAGCGGACCCAGGCGTCCATGACAGCGGCAGCCCGGGCCCACGGCGCCGCGGCCCGCCTGCTTCCAGCCCCTAGTCACGCCTCCCGGGCGGGCAACGGGGCTTCGCGAGGGACAAACGGCGGCAGGAAAGCCAACCAGCGGGAGCCGGCCCTGGGGCGGAATCTCAGGACGCGCAACGAAATCGTGGGTGCATTTCCGGCAGAGCACCCTCTGGGACGGTCTCCAGCCTCTAAGCACGCCCCCACGAGCACCCGGCTTTAAAGTCTCCGCAGCAAGGGGCGGGGCCTGCGGGAGCCCGGGGCGCCATAGGATGCCCGCCTGGGCGTGTACCCTCCAGCCCTGCCCAGCTAGGCGCTGAAGAACCCTGGGCAGCAAAAGCCTGTAGCCCAGACTAATTGTCCAAGGGAAAGAGGGTGTGATGAGATCCCGCTTGGCAACCTCCTCCCGATTAGGTGAAGAGTTCAGGGGCAGAACTAAGTGGACGAAATTCACAGGCCACCACATCTGTAGGCCTAGGCACACCTTCGGGGTCAGCAGTGGTGAAGGACCGTCTGGGCGAAATGGGGAGTGGAAATAGGTCAGAGATGCCCACCTTCTTAGGGGTAGCCCGGCCCGAAGGGGAGTGACCATTGTGCTCTGCTTTGCTTTGCTGTAAAACATCTGGCCGTGATGTGGTCAGTGGCACCACAGTAACCCAGCCCAATTGTTGACTCATTTAACCGTTGCCAATTTAACGGCCACTTCTGCGGTTATGCCCCAGATGCTTCCCGAAACATTCTTGTTCAGTATCTAGTTGAAGACGTCGCATGTTAGGCACCCGTGCTTCTCAAAACTAATTGCTATGTGGGTAACTTTGCTGCCACAAAGCAGTACTCAGTCGACCAGCTTTAAGCCTGTGCTCAGGTGGAAGGTGTGAACAGGCATAAATGAGATGTACAGGGGAAATCTGGTTTCTTCCTAGCTTTAGGTGAGTTGTCAGGGTTGCAGACTGGGCTGAACAGGAATTTGGTTACAGTAGGTGCCTGGGAAGTTGCTGCATTGCATGCTCTGCGGGCCACTAGCCATGGATCCTCAGGGAGAAAGCCTTTGCTATCTCCTGGGAAGATCACTTACAAGCTAGAGAGCTAATTTTGCTGGATGGATGGCAAATCCCTGTAGTCCCGACACTTAGGAGGCAGAGGCAGACCAATGAAAGTTTAAAGCCATCTTAATTTATCTACAGAGCTCCAGTCGGTCCAGCCTGATTTTAAGTGAAGAGGTGCTAGCTTGGTGGTTAAGAGTGCTTACTGCTCTTGCCACACATCAGGGTTTAATTCCCAGCATGCACATGGCTGCTCGCAACTGTCTCTTAACTCCAGTTCCAGGAGATCTGATGCTTTCTTCTGGCCTCCATGGCACCAGGAATATACATAGTTCACATTATGTACACTTCAGGCTGATAGTCATACATGCAAAATACATTTAAAAGCAGTATTCCATTATCCATCTGTCTCTCTTCCCTCAGGCTGGCTTTGTGGGGTTTGATTTCCACCTCTTTGCATCCCTGTCCCACTTCCTTTAGGATACTGGTACAGGAAAACTTCAGGACAAAAAAAAAAAACATTTTACAAATCTATTAAGAATAAAGTCAGTGGGCATAGTAGCACAGACCTTTAATCTTGAGAAGCAGAGGCAGGTGGAGTTCAAGGCCAACCTGGTCTACAGGGCAGGTTTCAGTACAGACAGGGCTACACAAAGAAATCCTGTCTCCCAAAAATAAATAAATAAAAGAGAAGAATGTGAAGTCTGGCTAGAGTCGACTCAAAGAGCACTTTTTCTTGAAGATGACCTGGGTTCAATTCCCAACACACACACAATGGCTCACAACCACCTGTAACTCCAGTTCCAGGGGCTCTATTACATCCTCTAACCTCAGTAGGTAGCATGGATGCACATGGAACACAGACAAACATGTAAAGCACAATACCATACACATACTTTTTTTTTAAGCCTGGAGTTTTAGGTTAAACTTTGCAGTTTTCACTCCATTCAAGAAATAATGTCCATTAGCATATACTTAGATGTTAAAGGTACTTAACAGCAACTTCCTGTCTGCTATGCCCAGCCACATTGAGTGAAGAGTGAAATGTGTATCTAACCCACTCTTGAAGTCCAAGAGACCTTCTGAGGTAAAATTTGACCCCTGAAAAACAGAAAGGTGTTAAAACAAGTAAACGTGGGCCTCAGAAGTTACTTCTAAAGCGGAGGACTAGAAAATGGATAATGATAATGTGCAGAGAGGAAAGGTGGGCTAGGTCAAAGTTTGTATCCTAAAGCAAGAGACACACTAGAAGGTGGAGAGTGACATTTCCAGATTGTTATTTTTACTCTAACTTTCTAGCTATTAAAATTAGTTAGGCATTGTTGTAATCCTGTAATCCCAGCACTCTGGAGACAGCAGCAGGAGGATCACAATTTCATGGCCGGCTTAGTCTGTCATGAGTTTCAGGTTAACCAGGGTGGTATAGCAAGACCATCTTTAAAAAGATTTAATCCTCAAATCATAAAGTATCAGAAATTTAACACAAGCCTAACTAACTGGTCTGCACTTGTTACCTCAACAACCCCGCACTGGAGGGGAATGCAGTAACATAGCCGAGGTCCAGGCTAGCCTGATCTAGTTAGTTTTAAGACCTTGCCTAAAAAGCAGTAGCAATCTCAGCAAAAGCCTGCCTATAGGTCTGAGGCAGAAAAATAATTTTTTTTACAATGTTACAAACAGGATCTCCATCACCCATCACTAAAAAGACACCTAGGGCTGGAGTTGGCTTAGTGGTCAAGAGCAGTGGAGTTATAAGAGTTCATTCCCCCAATAGCTTTGTGTGCTACCTGAGGACTGATAAGCTGGAGGGGAAAGCACACAGGCCCACTTGCTCTGGCTGGTGCTGGGCATGGTTGGAGACCTAAACAGTGGAGAGGCGGCACAGGATCAGTGGCTGCTTCAGCCTTACTCTGTGATTTTGTCCATTTCACTGCACCACTTTGTAAACCAGTTTTTATACCTTTGTGAGTTCAGGCTTCACACTGGCTACTCTTCAGAGGACATAAATTCAATCTGGGTATCCACATGGCAGCTCACAACCATCTCTAACTCCAGTCCCAGAGGAGCTGGGGCCCTGGGCCCTATTCTGACTTGCTCAGGCAACAGGCACACATATGCTGTACAAACATATGGAGACAAAACAAAACGCTCATAATTAATAACTAAATATTAAATTAAATTTAAAAAATTGGCATTCAAGAGGCAGAGGCAGATGGATCTCTGAGTTCAGGGTCAGCCTGGTCTATAGAGTGAGTTCAAGGACAGGCTCCAAAGCTACACAGAGAAACTGTCTTGTAAAACAAAAACCCTATTGGGACACCTGGCATACATCCAGACACACATAAATAAAGAATGGAATTAGGAAAGGTAAGAAATTATTTCTGTATGTTCAAGTTTCAAAGTCATAGTAGCTACAGTATAAAGTTCTGTAGGAGAAATGAAAGTTAGAAGGCCACACAATTCCCTTTCCTCCTCCTCCTGAGACAAGACCTCATAGAACCCAGACTGACCTGACAACAGGCCATGTAGCTGAGTGAGGATGAACTGAACTTTTGATTATTCAACCTTCACCTCCTAAATTAGTGCTAAGATTATAGGCAGAAGGCACCATGTCATTTTTTTTTTTTTTTTTGGATTTTCAAGACAGAATTTCTCTGCATAGCAGCTCTGACTATCCAAGTCCTCCTGCCTCTGCCTTCAGAGTGCTGGGATTAGATGCATGTGCTACCATGCCCATCCCATGTCCATTTTGTAGTGAACAAAACCCAGTGTTTATGCATAGTAGACAGGCATTCTATCAACTGAACCACACCCCTACCCCTCTGAGCTACTTTTATATTTCTCAAACAAAACAAAAAGAACATCCAGTTAATAGAAGATTTTCCCAAATAATTCAGAATAGCCAAATCATATCCAAATAGTTCAGCTAATGTCTTTCTGGCAGATACAATTTTCCCAAAGTCCTTCATGCTTGCTCAATTCACCTTCTCAAATACTTCAGAACATCTAGTTTTATTTAACTAACAGTTATTTGATATCTATTATCAGAAAGAGCCAAGGCACCCAACCCTGCAAATCTAAGGTATTTTTTAACCAATCCAAACCCCCAGCAATTTACCAAACAAAAGGGAAGGGCATCATCTGAAAATATGTTGTTTAATATTTGCCATTATGCACTGAGGAGACAGAAACGGGAGTATCTTAAGTCTGAGGCCAATGTGACCACATAGTGACCCTCACACTTTAAAACAACAACAAAAATTCCACAAAGGTATTATACACATATCAAAAAATTATTTCAACTAAAAACTATGTTAAGGGACAGCTATATTAATTTTTGTTTTGTTTTTCTAGACATGGTTTCTTTGTGTAGCCCTAGCTGTCCTGGAAGTCACTCTGTAGACCAGGCTGGCCTCGAACTCAGAAATCCCTCTGCCTCCCGAATGCTGGGGTTAAAAGTATATGCCACCAATGACAGGCTGCAGTGTCCTTTTTAGAAGCACACTGTTACACAGTACTCAAGCGTGGTTTTTTTTTGTGTTGTAGGATCTAACAAACTTCATGTTCAGCACCATATAAGGCAGAGCAAGCTGAGCACACTCAAAAGCCCCATGTTTTAATTATAGGGACCACATAAACTGGGTACGGGGCCCATGCCTGAAATTTTAGCACCTGGGAGACGGAGGCAAAGGAATCAGAAGTTCAAGGTCATCCTCAGCTATACAGTGAGTTCAAGGCCATCCTGGAATACACAAGACTCCAACTGACAGAGAAGCAGTAATATCTGCTCGGAAGAGTAAATAAGAATCGCTCCTAGCCGGCGGTGGAGGCGAACGCCTTTAATCCCAGCACTCCGGAGGCAGAGGCAGGTGGATCTCTGTGAGTTCGAGGCCAGCCTGGTCTACAAGAGCTCGTGCCAGGACAGGCTCCAAAGCTACAGAAAAACCCTGTCTCGAAAAACTAAAAAAAAAAAAAAAAATTCTCACTACCCTTGCTCCCTTGTCTTCAAAGAAGAACTGAGCAGTCTGTACCTGAGCCTCTCTAGAAACTCAGCATTCCCTCCAGACAGGAGCATCTTCCCGGTGACCCAGAGGCCTATGGCAAACAGCTCGTCAGTCTTCAGAACAGCAAAGTGTGTTTAAATGTAAGAAACAAAATGGAACATTTATTTCTTTAACTCAAAGCAATACTAAGAAGATTAGGTAAGAAATTAAATATAAAGACAAGTTCTACCCTGGCCCTATTTATGCAAGGCAGTATAACCAAATGGTCTGGTGGAGACCACCTGGGGAACGGAGGATCTATCAACGACGTCTCCGGTCTGGACTCCTGCTTCGTCTTCGGCCACCTCTAAGAAAAATGAAAAAGAAGGGGAAATCCATCAGAGGGACAATACAAAAATCCTTATTTATCTTGCTCACATTCCCTACACCAACATAAATATTCACCCCCCCCCATTTTACCTCCTCTTGCCCTTTGGTGGACCCCGAACAAAACACCAGTCAACACTGATTGGCTGTCCCATCAAATCTTGACCATTGAGTCCCTCCATGGCAGCCTGAGCTTCTTTGTATGTTTCATACTCAACTAGAGTATATCCCTGGGGAAAATATAGAAATGTCAAAAGTATACTTCACCAACTGTCAAGTACCCTCTTCCTTAAAGCTGATCTGCATACTTAACCGAAAAAATTTACCAGGTCTATACAGCAAAAAGTACATCATACATCCCCATTATACATGTAACCTACCCATTTTGTTTGTCTCTTTCTTGTGGGTAACAAAGTCAATTTCCAAGTCATTTCACTTAATCCCTGTTCTTGGTCAACCACAGCAAATACAAACTAAACAATGTAGCTAAGAGTTATGAGTGAAGGAAGCAAAAAATCCACCTTCAAGTATCCGGTGCGCCTATCCAAGTTAAGGTGGATGTTTTTTATCTCCCCATACTCAGCGAATTTGTCATGGATATCTTCCTCGGTGGCTTCTTCGTGGACTCCGGTGACAAAGAGAATCCAGCCTTCAACAGCTGTTGGGTAAAGGAAGGTGTTGTATGAGCACGTAAGAAAAAACTCAGGAGGCAGAGGCAGGCAGATCTGGGAGTTCTGGGACAGAGCAGCTTCCAGGTCAGCTAGGGCTAGCAAGTGAGACTCTGTATCAAAAACCTAAAAAAGTCTGGACATGGTGGCACGGGCCTTTAATCCCAGCACTCCTGGAGGCAGAGGGAGGTAGAGCTCTGAGAGTTGGAGGCCAACCTGATCTAAAAAGAGTTGTGGGTCAGCCAGGGCTGTTGACAGAGAAAAAGAGAGAGAAAGGTAGAGAAAGACTGGCTAAACTTTATTCCCATTTAAGTGCCAATACAGACTCCCAGAAGTCCTGTTTACTCACAGCGCTGGGGTCCAGGTTCATCGCCATCCTGCTCCACGCTGTCATAATCCTCTCGCATCCGCGCTCGGGACCCCTCTTCTAAAAGAACACATACCAGATCACCGAAAACTGTCCTTCATATATATGTGCTCCCCCCGGACCCGTACTTCTCCCTATTAGATCACTTTACCCTGTTCCCCACACTCACCGGAGCCAAAGCCGCGGCCCTTCCGTTTCTTCGCTTTTTCTTTTAGTTTATGGATGCTCTCTAGAGTTCCAGATTCGAAAATAAGAAGCAACAAAAAATAAGAGTCATTTTTTTTCCTTTTTCCCCCAGATGTTTCTTGCAGACCAGGCTGGTCTCGAACTCACAGATCCGCCTGCCACTGCCTCCCGCCCAGATGTTTCTTTCTAATGAATTGACCATAACATTTAAAATTTTCTGAAATGGCCAACAGACCATAGAAAGACATTTATTTAGGCACCTGCTTGAAACCAACAGCTTCAGCAAACTGATGGCCTTGATTCAGGGCCAATATAAGAGTCATTTTTAAAAACCTGTCTCGTTCCCAAGACTATCTGGAAGCATAAAACAGGGACTCCAGCTTCAGTCCCTTCCCGGTTCCACCCCTAATTCCTTCCCAAGGGGGCGGAGTCTCTCTAGTGGAGACCCAGTTCACCGGCATGCACCCCAGAAGTTTCTCCTATTGCATTCTCCTCTCGCTCCTTCCCCTCTTCCCGCAGCCACCTCCACTCTCCTCACCGTCCCCATCCTCATCCATGGCGAAATCCTCGCCCCCGGCCTCGTGAAGATCCAGTACGTCCGCCATCTTGCTTCTCTCGGAGCTCTCGTCCGTGCCGCTAGGAGCGAGGCACCTCGGGAAACTGTCGCAGAGGGGAAACGTCACCAGTCAAGCTAGCCAATCAGAGATTGGCTCCAAATCCCGCCCTCGGTTTGGTGGCGGAGAACGTCACCAGTCAGGCTAGCCAATCAGAGATTGACTCCAAGCCCCGCCCTCGGCGTGGCGAAAAGTCTCAAATGGAGCTGGAAACCTGTCGTGTCTGCGCGCTTTTAATCCCAGCACTCGGGAACACGGGTGGATCACTTTGAGTTCAAAGCCATCTCAGTCTACGTGGTGAGTTCCAGGCCAGTCACGGTCTCATAATTTGGCGTGTTTTGTTTTGTGACAGTCTCTTTGTAGCCCTGGCTGGCCTCGAAGTCATAGAGATCCGCCAGCTCCCTACTTCCACGTACTGGGATTAAAGGCGTGCGCCACCACGCCGAGCTCTAAGGCTACAGGATGAGACCCTATCTCAAAAAATATAATAAAGTCAAATAAAATGGTGCCGGAAGTGCTCCTACAGCTATCTTGAGCAGGTGTGAGCGCTTCCGCTTTGGGACAAATTCAATGCTTTCTCCTAAAACCTTCAACTAACAAGAACTCCTTATAAAACCGTGTTGATTTCCTTATTAAAGGCTTACTTTTCTTCTTCCCCATTCCATACTAGAAAATGGCAGTTGAATTAAATTTTTGTTTTTAATCTTAAACAGCGAGGCATCTTAAAATCTTAAAATGGCTCAGCAGGAAAAGACTGTTGCTGCCAAGTCTGACACCCTGGGTTCAATCTCTGGCAACCACAAGGTGGAAGGAAAGAAACGACTTTTGCAAGGTGACCTCCACATTCCTGCCTTCATGCAAGACATAAACACACGTATATATACAAATAAGCAAATGTTGTTAGGACTAAAAAGTAACTTAAAGCATATCTATCCTAGTTGAAGAAGCAATCCAGTCTTCACAGGAAGCATTAAAAAATAAATAAGTTGGGGGTTGGAGAGTTAGCCCAGAAGTTAGGAGCACTGACTGTCCTTTGAGAGGTCCTGAGTTCAATTCCCAGCAACCACATGTTGGCTCAAAACCCATAATGAGATCTGGTATCCTCTTCTGGCCTGCAGGGACACATACAGACAGAACACTGTATACATAATAAATCTTAAAAATAAATAAATAAGTTAAATCAACATTACCTGCTCAAAAACTGCCGCTGGTGCAGAATTTTAGGAAAACTAGTAGACCAGCCATGCCTTTACATGCCTTTAATCCCAGCACTTGGGAGGCTGAGGCAGGTAGCCTGTGATTTATAAAAGAGAGAGAAAGAAGAGAAGGAAAGAAAAAGAAGAACACTAAGAAAACAGATGAAGACAGTTGGAATTTGATTGGCCAGGCAGATAGCAAATTTTTGTTGTTTTAAGAGTCTCACTGTAGACCAAGGCTGACCTCAAATACACAGAGATCTGTCTGCTTCAGCCTCTGAGGTGGTGGGACCCAGCTTCAGGTTTTTTTTCTTTTTCTTTTTTTTTTTTTTAAGGTAAGTCTTGTAGAGCTAGGAATGTTGCTTAATTGATAAATGTATTACAGTAGTATTTATGAAACCCTCGGTTTCATCACCAGCATGGCACAAGCCAAAGATAGACAAGAAGGGAAGGAGGCATCAGAGCCCTCAAAACAGCAGCTTTACCATCCTTGAAGGTAGTATGCTGAATTAGTCAGGGCTAGTCAGGGTTCTCTAGAGTCACAGAACTTCCAGAATGACTGACTGACACACTCTCTCTCTCTCTCTCTCTCTCTCTCTCTCTCTCTCTCTCTCACACACACACACACACACACACACACACACACACACACACACACACACGATTTATCGGAATGACTTACAGGCTGCATTAGTCTAGCTAATCCAACAATGAGTAGCTGTGAATTGGAAGTCCACAAATCTAGTGGCTGCTCAGTCCCCCAAAGCTGGGACTTCTGTATATGCTGGAATCTGGAAGAAGCAGGCTCAATGCCAGCGAAGGAATGGATGTGCAAGCAGGCAAAAAGCAAGAGCTTCTTTTTCCTATGTCCTTATGTAGACTTCCAGCAGACAGACCAGATTAAAGGTCTGTCTTCCCACCTCACGATCGGGACCAAAGATGTGCATCCTCCCTCAAGGGTCTGGACTAAAACTGGATTCACCCACTTCAAGCAGAAGACCTCTTACAAGTGTATCTTTCATTTCTGAATTGTGTTAGGGTTCTCTAGAGTCACAGAACTTATGGAATGAATCTTTCTCTCAGAGAGAGAGAGAGAAAGAAAGAGAGAGAGAGGTGTATGTGTGTGTATGTATATATATAAAGATATTCACACACACACACATATTGGAATGACTTATAAGCTGCAGTTCAACAATGGCCAGTTAGGAAAGTCCAAGAATCTAGGAGCTGCTCAGTCCCACGAGGCTGGCCGTCTCAGCTGGTCTGCTGGGATCTTGAGAAGGAATGGATGGGCGACAGGTGAGGGCAAACAGATGAAGAACAGCCTTCCTTCCCCCACTGTCCTCATACAGGCTTCCAGCAGACAGCATGGCCCAGATTAAAGGTGCGCCTTCCTGCCTCAAGATTCAGATCAAAGTCACGTTGTCTTCCTGCCTCAAGATCCAGATCACAAGTGTGCCCTGCATTTCTGGACTGTAGTTCATTCCAGATACAGTCAAGCCAACAACCAGGAGTAGCCATCACATATGGGTATTTTCGTTTTTGTTTAGTTTGAGGCAGGGTCTCTCTGTGTAGACCAGGCTATCTTATTGATCCTTCCCTACACTTGCTCTTACCTATGGTGTACTCTTTCTCATCTCAGGATTTTGCAGCCTTGGTCCCCAGGGCAGGGATGTAGCTAGGTGGTAGAGCACTTGGCCTGCTTTCATGCTGATGCTGTTCCTCCAGGTTTTTGGCGTGGATGGCCCAGCCTCATCCTTTAGGGGTCAATACTCTCACTGAAGGCGTTTTTATTACCCTCCTTTCCGGTTTCTTTCCTTCTTAGAATTGATTAAAGGATGTTCAGTTGCCTTGTCTTGTTTTTAACTTGTATATCAACTGCCCCCCTCCCATTATGGTGTAATTTATGAAGTAAAGATGCTTCTTTCTAATTATCTCTAAAACTGGTGCCCGCTGCCCTGTCCCATGGTAAAGAAGAAAAGGAATTCTGCTTAAAGCTGTGAGACTGGGAAATAAATCTGTAAATGGCAGCTTACGATCATATTGCCATGCTAAAGGTTTGTGTAGTTTAATTCTAAATAAGAAATTCCTCTTCAGATATCTTGAGTGTTCGTGATTTTTTTTTAAAGATTTTTTTTTTTTGGTTTTGGTTTTTTCGAGACAGGGTTTCTCTGTGGCTTTGGAGCACTGTCCTGGAACTAGCTCTGTAGAGCAGGCTGGTCTCGAACTCACAGAGATCCACTTGCCGAGTGCTGGGATTAAAGGCGTGCGCCACCTTCGCCCGGTTTAAAGATTTATTTATTTAAGACTAGTCTCACAAGTCCTAACTGGCCTTGAACTCAAGATGGTCTAGGCTGGCCTTGAAACAAACAAACAAAAAAAGGTCTGTGTGCCTCAGCACAAGCCACCTCAGCCTGCCTTGTTTGTGGTGGAACCTGAGTACGGTGGCCTGAAGAAGCCAAAAGAGGGTATCAGAGCTGGCGTTTCAGGCTGCTGTGAATTTCCCAGTGCGGGTGCAAGGAACCCAACTCAGGTCCTCTACAAGAGCAGCAAGGGTTCGTAACCTCTGAGCAATCTTTCCTCTAGCCTTCTATTTATGACTTTTAACATGTGGAAACCCCCACCATAGCTTCTAAATTATTTTTTGCTTGGCATTTTTTTCTTAAACAAAATTTTAAAACATAAATTTACTTTAAAGGGACATTTAATCACAGTACTGTAAATAGAAAAGCAAGATTTTCTACAGTAAATTTGCACAAAAATATAATGTAAAAAATGTTTTGCAGGGCTGGAGAGATGGCTCAGAGGTTAAGAGCATTGCCTGCTCTTCCAAAGGTCCTGAGTTCAATTCCCAGCAACCACATGGTGGCTCACAACCATCTGTAATGGGGTCTGGTGTTCTCTTCTGGCCTGCAGACATACACACAGGCAGAATATTGTATACATAATAAATAAGAAATATTTTTAAAAAAATGTTTTGCAAGCTGGGTGGTGCAAGTGGAGAAGCAGGTTTCATCATGGATATGTGAGTTCACAATGTTTCTGTCATGTCTGGATGGTAGAAAAACAGACATAAAAGCTCCAAACAAGTTGAGATGGAAGAAATGTATGTGAGAATCATACATATAGCGTTTAATAGCCATAGTGAGAATGAGCTTGAGAAAGGGCCATGGACAAAATCCGGGCTTCTTTACTATTTGGAGGAGAGCAGCTGCCTTTTCTCTGCAGTATGTCAGCCTCAAAGCCTTTGCCAGTTTATGTGTGCGTGCAAGAGGCCATGTTGGAGCTCCTCTGATAACTGCCTGTCATTCTGGCAGGAGGTGACACGTGCTTGTAATTCCAGATTCTGACTGCAGAGGCAGAAGGGTTGTTGCAAGTTTGAAGCCATCCTGATCTACATAGCAAGTTCCAGGCCATCTATGGCTCTACAGTAAGACCCTGTCTCGAAAAACCAAACAGAAAAAAAAACAGTAATCAGGCTGAGTGGCACGTGGCACTGATCTCATTGCTTGGTAAGTGGAGGTAGGAGGATGAAGTATTCAAGGCCAGCTTTAGATACACAGCAAGTTGGAAGCCACACGAGATCCTGTCACAGGAGAAAAAAAAGTCATTCTGGCTTACTAGACAAAAACCCATTTTTAATTGTGTAAAATTTTACATATAAAATACATAGAAAGTACCAAAAAGATAACTAAAATCTTCAACATCAAAGGACAGAACAAATTTTCTCATGTTCTTTGGAGTCTTGGGTTTTTGAGAAAAATAAATCCAGGAGGTGCAAGGACAATTTCTCCCGAAGCGCATACCCCTTAACGCATTTACACAAAGAACGGCGCACAGGAGAAGTGGGCAGGTTCGTGACTTCTGGGTTATAGAGACCAATTTAAGACAGGTGCACCGACCGTGTAATATGGGAGCCTCTGTTCCGACCCAGTCTGCTTTGTGAAATAAAGAGGCAGGGCTAGAGGAATGGAGGAACCCTTTTCTAAGCATGGATACTGTTGTCCCTAGGCTCACGACCTGATCCCATGTGTCCTTGTCACAAAGATGATTTCAAAAGCAAGAAAGCTGCTTTTCACCTTGCTCCTGCCAAGTGAGCTGTGATCTAATCTACTCCCTCCCCTCCTCCCCCACCTCCCTTTCAGCAGTAGAAATTAAACTCAGGCTCCACAAGCCCATCCAACCCTGCTGCTAAGCTATATCCCCAGCCCTGTTTTTTTTTTTTAATATTATTTATTATGTATACAATATTCTGTCTGTGTGTATGTCTGCAGGCCAGAAGAGGGCACCAGACCTCATTACAGATAGTTGTGAGCCACCATGTGGTTGCTGGGAATTGAACTCAGAACCTTTGGAAGAGCAGGCAATGCTCTTAACCACTGAGCCATCTCTCCAGCCCCCCCCAGCCCTGTTTTTACTTCATATTTTTGAGACTGTCTTGCTAAGCCACCCAGGTTGCCTCTGAACTCATTCTAGCTGGGATGTACCTTGAATTTCTGATCTTCCTGCCTTATCCTCCAGAGTAACCGGGACTACAGACCTGCATCACCAGGCCCAGTTCCTAAGCTAAAAACAAATTGCAACTGTTAAATGGGAAGTCAGATTATAGTAGCATTAAAATGATAGAAAGTGAACAATAACACAGTGTAGCGGAGATCACGGAAACAAGGGAAACCGCTTACTCCGTGAAAGTCTCCGAAAGCCCCGAGCTCTGCCTTCAGGACCTCTCTCTCTGCACACACAAGTACCTCGTTCTCTTTCCTCTCCTGCAGGCGGTCAAGGTTCCACTTAGGAAGAACCATGTTCTTATCCAAGTTTCATCAACTCACGTTCTCACAGGCAATGTGGAGGGAAAGGAGGAAGACACAGGAAATGGGAATCTAAGAGTAAACAGCACAACTCGGTGGGCCTGAGAGGAACATGGTTCTCACGACACAGACCAGAGACAGTTTCTAAAGAGCAGAACACTTCTATTGAAGGAAGGGTTAAGGCAGGTGAGGTGGTACTCCATTGTAATCTCAGCACAGGGGAGGTGGGTGCAGGGGGTTCCGGAGTTCAATGTCATTCTCAGCTGCAAGCCTTGGCTGTTCTGGAACTTGATCTGTAGACCAGGCTGGCCTCAGACTCACAGAGATCCACCTGTCTCTGCCTCCCAAGTGCTGCCATTAAAAGTGTGAGCCACCACCTGGCGGGCTGGCTGCTTTTTTAAGAAAAAGAGACATGGACACTTAATCAAGTGTACTGTGCTACAGGAATGATTCTTATACTTCATCTGAAGGTGCAGGAGCCAGCAAAGCTCTCAACTGGAACAGTGATACTCCAAAGGTAGCTACATCCCCAAACCTGGAGTTAGAAAAGGGATCTCAGCAAACAGGAATCCAGGTGTAGAGTTTATACATATATATCTATATTTAAAAGTATAAAATTGAGAAAGTATATACAGAAATCGTCCTACGTCTTAGAAAGGAGACATACAAAAAAGGGCCTGACGAGCGTGGCAGTGAGGGCAGGTGCTCAGCAGCTGGAGGAATGCATATTGCCCAGCTGCCCAGCCGCCAGCATGAGTATGTCCTTCTTCTCCTTGTGGAAGCGCAGCTCCTTGCCCGCCAGCCGGGCTTCATCCAGCTCCCGCTCAGTGGAGGCCAGCTCTCTAGACAGTGCCCCCGGCACACTCTGCTCCCTGTTCACCCAGTCCAGAGCCATCTGGTGGCGGATATCATCATCCAGGGCCCGGTGCGAATAATGAGCCAACACCTCCTGGTCAGGGAGAGGAATGCAGAGGTCACTGAGAAGGTAAAAATCATCATATAGCACAGGACCCTAGACAGACACACGTCCTACACAGTATAGCACAGGACCCCTAGACAGACACATGTCCTACACATTATAGCACAGGACCCCTAGACAGACACATGTCCTACACATTATAGCACAGGGACCCCAATAGACAGACACATGTCTAACACATTATAGCACAGAACCCCAATAGACAGACACATGTCCTACACATCATAACACAGGGACATATCTACAGACAGGCACATATCTACACAGTATAGCACAGTCTGAACTGAAGTTAGCACATGACCTACGAAGATTTGTTTTCCCTTATAAGAGTTTGAGTAAAACAGAAGTGGGGGGAGGCTTGGATATACACACAGATGAGGGAGGTGCAGGGGCTCTGCCATGGGGAGCACAGTGAAAGCTCTGAGCTCGGGGAGCACACCTTCAGTGCCCCAGCAGCACGCAGAAGGTATCTGACTTAGGTGGGAAATGTGGTTATCTTTTAAAAACAACAAAATCTCCTAAATGTGTGAAAACCTCAGCACTCTGCTCAGGTCACCATGAACACTTGCTCAAGGGAATGCAGGAATGCCCATAACTTGCCAAAACTATTTTACAAACGCAATGCTTATTTCATTTTTTCTTCTCCAGCCAGCTCCTTGTCACAGAAGGAACTGAAAGCTCCATGGGACACTGGAGGCTGATCTGTGTGATTTAATGTGATAGACTTGGTCCTCTGGTTCTTAGTGAGAAGGACACCAGAATGGGGTGGTTTCGGAGCTGTCGACCCATCTTGGAGGGGAGCCATGGTGGGGCAGACTAGTTCATGTCATGGCAGCTTGGAGACAGAGGCCAAGGAGGCTGTTTTGTTTTGAGACAGGGTCTCACAATGTAGCACGAGCTACCATGGAACTTGCTAGAATTTAGAGATCCACCTGCCTCTGCCTCCTAAGTGCTGGGATTAAAGGCATGAGCTACCAAACCCAGTTCAGTCAAAGAGTTTCCTAAGGGAAACTTCATAGTGGGGAAGCAAGGTAAGAGGGCCACAATGACATTCAGACAGCAAAGAATACCAGGACAGACTGGGTGCCTTTAGGAGGCAGAGGCAGGCGGATCTCTGAGTTGGAGGCCAGCCTGGTCTACAGAGCGAGTTCCAGGACAGCCAGGGCTGCACAGAGAAGCCCTGTCTCGACAAACTAAAATGATGAAAGAATGCGAGAGCAAAGAGGATGCTGAAATAGGGCCTAAAAGCAGTGACGGCCTGGTAGCCATTTGAAACCCAAAGCAGCTCTTCCCCCTTTTCCCTCAGCTGACTCCTACCTGTCGAGAGCACTGTCTTTCCCTCATGGCCTTGAGGCTGCCATTCCAGTGCAGCAGCTGAAAAACTGTCATGAGCTCCTGAGGAAAGAAGATGGGAAATACTAGCGTGATGGCTAATTCTGGTTGTTGACTTGCTACCTGGAATTAACTAAGACCCAAGCTGCTGGTGCACTGTGAGGGACTTTTCTTGATGGGGATCATTTGTAGTGGGAACAAACACCTCCCTTAAATCCGGGCCACACTGTGGCAGCCTATATAAGGACATGGAGGAAGGAAGCTTGCTTTCACCAGTGCGTCCCTTCCTTCACTGGTATTAGAGCCTGCTTTGGGATTCTGGTATGCACTGAAGACCAGCTAAGACATCCAGTCTCTACTGGACAACTCCTGGATTACTGAAGACAGACTTTGTTGGAAAACACAGACCACAGCCTATAAATTACTCTAATAAATTGTGTGTGTGTGAGAGAGAGAGAGACAGAGAAAGAGAGAGAGAGTGTGCATTCTATCTGTTCTGGTTCTCTAGATAATCCTGGCTGATACAGTCAGGATAGTGATTTTAAATTATACCACATCAGAATCAAATGGGACAACATGTATTTTTGGAAGCATCTCTAATATCTATCTAATCACCAACTCTGGTGTGCCCTTAGGGGAAGAAAGGGTAACTGTACTTTGAAAATCTAACCACCTTCTCTCCATCTGCCCCCCCCCCCCCGCCCCAGAACAATAAGGTAGAGATGAGTAGGTGACATTGAACTTGCTGTGTCAGGCTGACCTCTGTGATTAGAGGCAGGAAAGAAGGTGGGGCAGTACCTGGAACTCCAGCATTGACTTGCCCTTATTAGATTCCAGCATGAATCGGAAAGCACCAATCCCTGTATTTGGGTTGTCAGCTTCCTCTCTGTTACCCTGGTAACAGGAATGAAAAAGACAAGTAGCGTTTCGATCAGAATTACCACTTTGACCAGTATTACCCAATAGAACTTAGCAACATTTTTATGCATGTGTGTGTATGCGCTTGCATGTGCACATGTGCTTGCATGTGCACGTGTGTATGTGTATTCATCTGGAGTTACTCCTGAGGAGCACTGACCCCCCTCCTCTGAGACAGACTGCTGGTCTCAGGCTTACCCGTTATGCTAGGCTGACTAGCCAAGAGCCCTAGGGATACCCAGCTCTGGGGCTACACATGTGAGCCGCCATACTAGCCTAGCATTTCAAGTGGGCTTTTGGGATCAAACTAAGGACCTCCTGCCTGCAAGGCAAATGCTTTTATCTGCTGACCCATTCCTCAGCCCTTCATGAGCCACATACTTAATTTTTTTTAAAAGAATTTTTAAAAGATGGCGTGTGTGTCTGTGGTGTGTACAATGCCAACAGAGGCCAGAAGAAGGCAGCAGCAGATCCCCTTGGAAGTGGAGTTACCTGCAGCCTGCCTGACACAGGAACTGAACTTGGGTCCTTTGAGAAAGCAAGTGCTTTCTGAACCATTTTTTAAGACTCCATGTTTGATTTTAAATTTTCCAGTTGCTACATTGAAATAAAAACAAATAGCTTAAGAGTCTATTCTGTGTGCGCACCAGTGTGGAGGCCGGGGATTGACTGGGTCTCTTCCCCTCTCTGTCCCTCCATCTGATTTACAGTAAACGCTGAGCTCTATGATTGGGTTCAGTGAATGGCCAGAGCTCTAGGGATCTGCCTGTCTCCACTCACAGAGCTACCTTGTTCTTTGTGACTTCCACATCATGCCTCCCAACCATGCCCATTTCCCTCCCCACCCCAAAATAAAACAAAATAAAATTTTAGAGAAGGGGGGGGAAGAAAGGAAGAAGAGGGAATTTTTGTTATCGAAGCTGCAATGTGAAACACTGAGTCACACAGTAAATCCCGTTATCCCTACAGTTTTAGGTGCAGGCGATCAAGTCCCCTGGTCCCTGCTGCACCACTGATGCTGGACTCTACCTGGACATCCTGTTGCTGCCCTGTGTCCTGGAGATCCTGCAACTCTGGGTCCATAGGGCTGGCACACCCCTCACCCCAACCATATCCAGCACAGATGAGGTGGATGTTGGGGTGCACCAACACATAACCCTAGTTCTGGGCCGGGGTAGTTGCAGGGTTGGTCTGCCCGCCAGCTTTCCCATTCTTTGCTACCAGGGTGGGCTCTCCAGCATTGCCTCAGCTAGTACACCCCTTGTAGGGGGGAGCAAGGGACGGAGCCGGCTCTCCCTAACCGGCGTCTTCAGGGCCCGGGTGTACTGCCTTGCCCAGGAGGAGCAGGGACCACTCTGAGTGTTGCACTGATAAGGGGCAGGGACAGCGCCCCCAGTCTTTTAAGTTTTGGTTTTTCAAGACAGGATTTCTCAGTGTAACCCTGGCTGTCCCGGAACTCCCTCTGTACACCAGGCTGACCTCAAACTCACAAAGATCTGCTGTCTCTGCCTCCCACGTGCTAGGATTAAAGGTGTGCACCACCACTGCCTGGCCATCAACACCTGCTGATAGAAGGGGAGGGCATCTCTCCCCAGCCCGTGTTGCAGAGTTACCTGTCTTAAAGGAACAGGAACTGGAATTTTTAAACCAAACTTAGAAGTAAAATTCAAGCATGAAACTATTTCATTATTTTAATAGCTCTAAAATTCCATAAATTGGGACCAGTGAAACCAGTAAGAGGGCTCAGCACTTAAAGATACTTCCCTCCACACCTGGAAACCTGAGTTTGATACCAGACTCCTCACGGCTGAAGGAGAAAACCACAATGGCCTCCCAGAAGTTGTCCTCTGACCTCTACAGATGTGCCATGGCATGTATATAAACATGCTAAAGATTTCATTATTATTTTTGTTTGTTTGAGATAGGTTCTCTCTATGGCCCTGGCTATTCTGGAACTCATATACGTCTATTTGCCTCCGGAGTGTTAGGACTAAAGGTATGTATCACCATGGCTATCATTATAATTTAAAAATTTATAATATAATTTTTAATCCCACAAATCTTGAATTAAAAGCATCTAGATACTGTCTGGAAGAATGGCTCAGAGGTTAAAAGCACTGGCTGCTCTTCCAGAGGTCCTGAGTTCAATTCCCACACTGTGGCTCACAACCATCTGTAACGAGATCTGGTGCCCTCTTCTGGCCTGCAGACATACATGCAGGCTGAATACTGTGTACGTAATAAGTAAGTCTTTTTAAAAAGTATCTTAGATACCAAAGGAACACAAAGACAAATCATTAAACATAAAAACACAGATCTAGAATTAAAGGCAGACATGGAGCACACAACACACACAAAATCGATAGAATAAACAGAAGAGAAGCAGACAGAGGGAAGAACAAAAGCGCATGGGTTCCCCAGCTCTGCCACCCCCTGCTTCCCTCCTCCCATTCCCAAGTTATTTACATTGAAAGACGCCAGGGCCTCTGAGACACTCTTCTCAATAAACTCATCGGTGATTCTTCGGGATGGATGCTCGTTAAACACGGAGTTCATTAGCGCAATCTTCGCAGCACTCCGCCGGGCCTCAGCTTTGGTGGGGCAAAACTGGGTTGGGGGAGAAAGAATGAGAGCACTGAGAGAGAGGAAGAGCAGCAGGAAGGATGCCACCGAGGAGGAGACATTTGGACCACGGATGAATCAGTAGTGTTCATCACACTTTCCGGAGCCTTGCTGTGAAATGGCTGGGGTGTTTGAAAACATAACTTTGACTCAACATCCTGAAGTCATTAAAGCATTGGAGATGACTGGCTCATCCCAAATTGAATGCAGGGCGAGGAAGGCTGCTGAAGTCAGCATATAATCATAAGACATGGAAAATGCTTCTATTTAAACTGTCAACAGAACTAACTACTCAAAAGCCAGCTCCTGGCCCGCTTTTTTGGGTGATGGTGTCTGAATTCTAGATAACCCAAGATTAAGTCAGGCCATGACCCGTTAGAAGCACCCCTCTGGGATTCTTGCTCTTCACTCTTAGTGGTAAGCAGGCAGGTCACAGGCGCTACCTCAATAGGGTCTAAGTCTGAAGATGTCTTTCCCCACAGTGGGTGCAGGGACATGCAGCTAAGGGAAGGCAGGCTGGCGAGGAAAGCAAGGGAAGCAGCAGAAACTTGTTTTAAACTGCAACCAACACGGTATCAGGGCAAATACAATTTTCAGAAGTCTTCCCAATGTCAGAT